TGTTACTTAACCGGCTTTTATATCCTATTAGATGAAAAGCGAAAGAAAAACATATATAATTTATTCAAAAAAAAAAGGCAGATAAAGTTACAATTTGCTGTTGTCCTTGATCATTGATCTAACGTGTAACTATTGATTTTTTATCATTTTTATCGCGCATTGTGTATATTCATTGATCATTTTTGAATTTGATCACAGACTATACAAATAAAAATAAATAAGCAAGAATTAAAATACAATTTTATGAAAATTGTCTCAACTAACTTTAACAACTTCACCATCAAAATGAGTTTCATCAAATTCAACACGAAGTATAAAATCATACGATGATGTTTTGAGTGTTGATTCACTTTTAAATGTCCATCAATCACCATTTTGACTAATGCCCAATTTAGGTTTGATAAATTTAGCTGATTGACGAAGTGTAAAACCAACATTCTAATATTAAAAATAAATCAAAATTTGATTCAAAGAAAATGAAAATCTTTTTACAATTTCTTTCTTATAGTCATCGAAGCGTTCACCATCGACATATTCCCATATGCCTATAAGTTGTTCAATATCACTAGTAGCTGCTATTATGATTTAATAAATCTTCTAATGAATCCTTCCTTTTGAAGAAAATCATCGGTATATCATGGCATATGAAAGGAAGACAATACTTCGAAGGAGGAGTGAAGAAGGCTGAGCGTATGTTTTTTTTATTCGAGTGTATACTATTTTTTTGTTTTGAAGAAGGATCTTTTTTTTCTGGTTTTGAAATAATAAAGGGATGAGAATGTATAACAAAACTTTTTTCGCATATATAAGACACAATTTGACGTAAGTATTATTTTTTTATTTCAAAAACCATTGTTTCACTAATTTGAGGTGGCTGCTACTGAATTTATCCGTGCAGAAAAGCAAATGTTTTTTTTTTCGGATGTGTTCGATAGTCGGACTTTCTTATTCGAAGAACAAACAAAAATAACCATTGCAAACAGTATCCAGTACTTGTGAAAAAGCTATTAGTTCGATAGAACGCAGTATCTCGGAGAACGGTAGGATAAAAAATAAGGTCATTTTGACCCCAATATTTCATAGAAGAACAGCATTTGGGAACATTGAGTCCATGACAACTTTTGCTCTACTCATCAAGATTTATCTGTTCTGAAAGTTTGAAAATTTGCCTGATGACTAGTAGTCTAGGAATCCAGGACAAATAGACGAATGTATTCTTTACGAAGTGCCGTATTATTCACTTCTTATGGAATAGTAATTAATGAAATTCCATGAAATACATTCGGTCAGTTGGTATTCAAGCCAACTTTTCTAAGGTGATCGATCTGAGTAAATAACCAATAAAGGAACCATCTATTTGTTATGAAATCTATCTATTGTGGAAGTTTATTTAAATATTTCATAGTATCATTTTGAAAACAATTTATTCTGATTGAATATAAAGTAATTTATTGGTCAATCAATTTGGATAATTTACTGTTTTCTGTCTGTCACTCTTAACAATTATTATCTATGTAATTTATTCTATTATAATCATCTCGTGTTCTTACTTCTCATAATATTATTGTCATGTTAATATCATCATTAAATGTATATTGTACCAATAATGTCTTACTATAGTAATCAGGTATATCCATAGGATTTTTGAGCTGGAGAGGATCAAAATTTTTTTTCGCTTAGTTTTGATGAAACTTTTGCTCCTGTACGATAGAGATATGACGCTAATTATTTATATTCATATATAATAACTATTCCGTATCGTGAGAAAAATGAAAAGAAGAATATGTACAATTAAACAAAGACTTAATTGACTTCATTCATAAACGTTAACTGATCTATTGATTTAACAAATTCATCAATAATATTTTCGATATCTCGTTGTTGAATGATGTTCTTATGAATATGGATAATATCCAAATTACTAAGTCTTTCATCACTATTCTATTACATATATAAGTTTTAATTAATTTCATGACAGAAAAAAACGCTCGGTAGTAGTTACCGACACTGGTATTTGACATCTGAATTTGAATGAGAATAATGATTGATGCATTTAGTTGCTTGAATAACAGAATCTTTATGATGTTTACACTTATTAGGATTTGATAAATAAGCCATAGGGTCTTTTAATGATTTTAATGGTCTATTAACAAATTGATCGAAATACTGATTTCTTCATTTCTTTAAAAAATATAACACAATATTGGCAATAAACTCTTTAATTTATTTTCGAATATATCAGTCAAGAATATTTGGTTTACCATGAGTGTTGACGCACTGTGATCGATTTTTTTTCATTTTGTTCGACTTTTGAAAAAAAAAATAATTTGGTGATGAAATTCATGATTCCATTAACAGTCGATTTATTAATGGAAAATTATTCGTAACTAGTTGATTTAAAACAAATAATCGAATATTATCATCTTTGATAGATGTATTAATAATGGTGCTAAAATTTTGATTAACAAACAATGAAGAAATAGCAGGTGGAACTTTTGTTGTTACTATCGATTTCGAGCTCGTTGTTGTTATTGGAATTATGGAAATCATCTGCTGTTGATTGCTGTAAGACATTTTTATCGATATCAACACTCTTAGATCTCTTGTTCGATACGAAATGTTTACTAATATATTTCTGTTTTTTACTCATCTTTTTTTTTAAATATATTTGCTGAATAATTACATAATATTGATATCATTACGCACGAATCATAAAGTAGAAGAAAATCTTGTGATTATACGCATGATATATATATATATTCGACATTAATTATAACAAACAAAAACATTATAAATTTGAAAGTACAACTTTTTCTTGAGAAATTGAGAAGATCGATTCTCCAATTCCTTTTGTGAATGTTTTCAGTTATAATGTGTTATTATTTATTCTTTCTAGCAGAATCTTAGTCGATAACTGATTACAAGTCTTTTTATCAAATGAAAAAAGACATTATTCACTAGTCACTTCAATAGTGATTAGTGGTACATCATACTATTGATCTTGTTCAGTTTTATATTCATCAGTGATCATCAAATAGAGAATATTGTTCAATTCGAAATAAAGAAACAACACATTGACAATGCAAAAAATAAATAAATAAGAAATTAACTATTTCCTTCACATAAATAGTTGATGAATTTCCGTTCATTTTTTTTTAAATATATGTCTCAATCAAATTCAAAAACTAATATTTACCTACTGAATGCAAACGTAGGTAAAAATTAATATTTTATAAATAAATGCCTTTCATAATTATTGCTGATGTATATAATCATTCGTCATATTTCTCTGGTTGAATACAATGAAATAATGGTTCATATAATGTAAATTTAGTTTTCCTTTCTCTGTATATATATAAAATTGATTTTATTTAATTAATAAAAAATACATAAACAAATAAATACTACTAAGACTCTTATTTAAAATAAAATAAATATCAATATTTTAATCACTGTCATCATCAAAATCTCCACTTACACCTCCAGCTGTTCTCGATAAACGTTCTTCTTGATGATCACTATCATGTGAATTACTCACTGATGTATTCATATTTTCTTTTTCTGCATGATAAATACGACTTATTTGTAAAAGCATATTTCCAATTTCTGGATCATTCAAATAATTAGTTATTGATGTTGGATTTTCTGCTATTTGTAACATAACTAAAATATAAAAATAAATAATTATTTCGTTTTTTTTT